GGCTCGAGTCTCTCACTGCTGCCGATGGGGCTGCGACGAGGCGCTGCCGAACCGGTGGACCTGCGGCGGGTGCAGGGGCCCCAGCAGTTGTTTAGAAAGGAAAAGAAGCTGAAATTAGTGATTTATTAATAAAATAGAAAATAAAAAAAAAGAATTCTGAGGATTTTATTGAATAAAAGGAGGCGGATCATACCCGTCATCCCGCCGATGGTGCTTGCAGCGGTCTGTGCTGTTGCTGCGAGTCAAGCAACAACGGCTTCTGCTCTGCAGCGTTAATCCTATTGAAGAACCCCAATTTATTTATTGATATTCTTCTTTATTGTTTGATTTTATTATGGAGAAGAACTTCTTTTTAGCTGCTGAGCGCCAGACACACCTATGCTCCTCGTTCGTGCTGCCGCAGCCAACCATGACGGCCACCAGTGGCCCGTTGCGTATCGCCTCAGGACTTAAAAGGCATATTTTTTTGTGTTTTTTTCTGGCGATATTCATATTAAATGATAATTCAAATGCTGAGAGTGCCCATTCAAGAGAGGCAACTCGCGCCAGCAAGCTGCGGCGGGCTGCCAGTATGCCTGTACTCGACGCTAGTGAAGATGCACCGACTTCTGGGTTAAGAACAATTTCGCTCCCCCGAAGGTGAGTCTCTTCTATGCAGAAATATCTACGCTTTCCTCCTCTATCCTCCACCTTCGGTGCCAGCACCCGAAAACCCTGCAGCCTGCAGCAGCCAGTTATGCGTTACAGTGCGTGTGTTTGTGTATTTTCGTTTTTGTATTTGTGCGTTTCTCTATTCATGTGTGTATGCGCTGCAGTATGGACTTAGACCCGTCAGTAGAAGGTGGGGCTGCAGAGCTTCCTCAGCAATTCTTGCACGTTTTCAGCTTAGCTCGAGTACAGTGTTTCTGTTGCTTTCAAAGGAATACAAAACACCACTTTATCTATGCATCTTAATCTCATCACGCATAGAACAAAATAACATTCTTGTGCTTATTGGCTTCTTTTTTTTTTGCGTTTGTTTTTGCATCTCTGCAGAAGTGAGCTATGGCTGTCACTGTGAAGGCGGCGCCCCCCCCCTCTCATAGTAGAGTTACCGCTTGCTGCTGAGGCAGCCTACAGTATATAGATATAGAAAACAACACTCAACACATCTGAAAGAAAGGTTGTTTTATAGAGACTTTGCTGCTGCTGCGTAAGAAACTTGCTGCTTTCTTTTCATGTGCTTTTTCTGCTTCTGATGTGCGCCCGTCTGTGCAGCGTAGTGAAAAGCGTGAGATGCTGGAGGACACAGGAGGGGCCGGTAAGCACAGATATTATAAATTAAAATAAGATATAATCACTCGAGTTTTTTATTTTAAAAACTCTAAATAATATATTTAAAGTCAATTCAAAGAGTTATCTGAACCCGCACCACTAAGAATTAGAAACAGTTGATGCACAGCAAACAACAGAAATCCATAACGAAAGACTGCATCGTGTTTCTTCATTTGTTTTTGTGTGTTCTGGCGTTTCACTGTGTTGCGTTTTCAGTGGAGAAGTTTATAAGTGGTCAGCCTACGAAAGATGCATTGCTCGCAGCAGCTGCAACTCAGCGTAGATTAGGTTTCGGGCCTGTAGATGATATGCCGATGCAGGGCTGTGGATTGAATCCTATGGCTCGCGTGTACAGCCCAGAAGAGGTTATTCGTCGATTGCAGCTTAGCGAGCCTCCTTGTTACGGCCCCGTAGATGATATCATCAGAGAGTACAATCTGTATGTCACTGAGCACACGGATCTCATGAACAAAATGCGGGAAACTGTGAAGAGAAAACCACACAAAAGTCTGCGTTTAGCTTTCATACAATGGTAAGCGAACCGAGGATCTTTTGCAGCCTGCTGACGGGGGGTCTTCCAGTTGCCGCAGCCAGGCTACAGCTCCTCATGTGCCCCCCTCGCGTTTGCTCTGCTTCAGGAATGCGCTCATGATCAAGCCCAGCACGTTCCAGGTGCTTGCCCCTTTTCTAAACCAAGAAAAGGGTTTCAACCCAGACGATGTGGACGTGGTGACAATTGTGCTTCAAGAAAACATGAAGCTTGACTCCCGCAGGGAAAGGAGATTCCTGACAAACATACAGACGGTGCTGAACCTCCTTAGCACGACAGCTAATTGGGGGCCAGCATCCATCTCCTACCTGGGTAATATCAGGGGGACCCAAGCTAAAGCTATCCTAACCCCCAACACGCAATCGCTCATTTATATTATGCGAGAAACCCATCAACCTGACTACATCTGCAACGCCGAACAGTCTGTTCAGGGGGGGGAGAAGGGATTCATTGGCGCTGTATTTGGATTCCCCGGCTTGGGTAAACTCGCCGTCTTGGGTTCTCACCTGAAAGGGTGGAAAGCAAAGCAATTTGAGAATGTCTTTCCCGATCTTCTAAAGCAATGCGGGAGCCCGCACGTAGGTAAGGTTACCCAGTAGTGTATGCAAGAGCTCGCTCGTTGAGGCCCTAGACACACCACCGTATCGTGCTTCTATATGAAAGTGTATGTGGGTTCCTCCTGAAAATTCCAGCTAGTACCACGAGAAACTTTATGCATCAAGCTGTATATGACATCCTTCCGCAGCTAGACTGTGTTTTACTCTATTTTATTTAGAAAGCGAGATCCAGATTGCACCTCTGTAGCTGCTGCGGTCTGCACTGCCTGTGTGGTCTTCCAGGGCTTGATTCTTTTTCTTTGGGAGTGGTATTCGGGGCAGATTTCAATGAACATCTGCACTTTGAGTCATTGACGCACCTTTACAATACCGCCCTTCAGGATCCCGATCGGTATCCTGCCTTTGCGAAAGTGCAGACCGCCTCTGCTGAAGAATGTAAGACAACCCTAGCAGCACCTGTAGAAGAGCCACATCCCGTTAGAAAAAAATTTGCACGCTCTCATGATACCTTCGTATTTCTGTTTCTGTTTCTTTGCATAGCGGATAATATCAAGATGACGAGGTTGCTAACGGAAGCACTGGCTGAGCCACTCGATATTATTGCCAGTACATATGAACCCCTCATCTGGTCGGTTGACAGGCTGGGTAGGAGCGTCAATGCAGCTGGTCAACCTAAAACGCTCCCAGCATCTCTGAGATCCTTAGGGTTCAGATTTATCAGCTCCTGCTACGCAGCTGGATATACGTACAAGTGGAGCCGAGGGTGCCGGTATCCAACGGAGCCGCCTGTCCCAGTAAGCACACACCGCCCTTTTTTAGATTATTCGTGAAGCAGTATTTTCCCCCGTGCAGTCTGTGATAGGATGTCTGTAATTGCTGACGGACAACATGAATTCGTGTACGGTATTTGTGGTATGATGACGCTGTCGCAGGGACACTCGCCGTTCAGTGTGCTGAAAAAATGCCTTGCGCCAAAGGTGTTTGCCTCACGGCGAGGTGTTGGGTATCTAGACAGAGTAACAGTGCGCCTTTCCTCAGAAAGCACTGCAGTTTTGGATCGGATGTTCGAGGCGGGCGGCATGGAGGGTGAAGTACCTTCAACGTTCGCCTCCATTACTAGCGGCTTACAAGTATACGACATGAGGAGCGACCACGTGCAGGTCGCGAACATCATTGAGTTTCTGAAAGTTGATTAGAATATGAAAAAATAATTAGTACAGGTCTTTTGCTGCGACACCTAGGACGGGCTCGATGAGCCGCTCCGCCCCGGTAAAATCAGCAGTTTATAGAGGCAAGGTGTGCCGCTTCGACCTGGAAAAAAAAAACATTTTTAGAGCAGCTGGCCCACTATGGATGCGAGAGATACAACTAGCCGGAGAGCTCTGGAAGGCTAGCTGTTTACGAATAGGGGTCTAGCACATATCGGGTTCGTGTAAGAGTCGGTTGGTATTCACCAAGCCGCCCTTTGCCCACCTTACCGCTTCTGGAGTTGTTCGCTTGATTGCATGCTGACCGCAGCCACCAAGTTGGTACAGTTGGTGGGAAATATGCGCTTGGCATCATGTGTTGAAGCTGGATTGGTTCTCCATGCTTCGACACTCAAGGTTTAGAATACATCGTTCATGTAAGTCTATATATTCCGTCCAGCGTCATGCTGTCTGTCGTCTCGTTCGCCATGCAACGGGCGACAGATATCCCCTTCCGCGTAGTTTTCAGAATTCCTTTTATTTGACCGTTTTGACAGGTTCGTCCAGATTTTGTTAGGCGTTTACCAAGGCTGAGGGATGTCGCAGCGTTTCCTCGCAAAGCAGAAACTTCTGCAGTGCTTGCTGTGCTGACCCACATGGGGGCAGTACGTGCGAAATCCGAACATACTGACAGCCATTTGGTTTTCTTCAATGATTATCGTTCCCTTTTCAGTTTCGCGTTACTCCTTAGATACCCACGCTGCTGTGCTAGCATTTGCGTTGTCGTGGATAAACTCAGCAAATGCACCCAATTCGAGCACTGTTCAATTTTAATTGCCACGGAGAGGGTGGCCCATACGGTTAATCTCACTTGGCTTCGAATCACTCGAAATCCGTTGAAGTCTCCCTTCAAAAAAACAACGTCACTGGGACAACGATCACATGGAGAAAAATGGGGTCGTGGACAAACCGGTAAAAGCTCGCGTACGGCACCACAAGCAATATTTCGTGGAGAGAAGAATGACAGTCTTAGTGGATTTTTGAGGATTGTTTGTGCGGAGTAACTTCTCAGGAGCGCAAACAGTACGAGCGAATAGGGAACGTTCCTGATGGAGGGGCGGCGATTTCAATCATTGGCATGTGCAGAGCAGCTTAAAATTGAGATGCGTACAACCATTTGGTGGCAATTGGTTTATCACGTGCAGATAGGCGCTTTTTCTATGTATGCATGTACGTATATGTGAATTCCGACGTTATCTGCGCTTCCCTCTACCCATAGGTAGCTCGGCAGTGTCGACAAAAACACTTCCAGGCATTTCGGGTGTTATGACGGTGCCCCTTTGGAACAGTATGGAACTCTGCAGCACGCAAGCGCTGATGTTGCACTCTGGCGGCGGTACACTTTGTGAACGTTAGGGTGCGATCATCACAAAGAGACCCAACCAAGACGAGAAACACAGGGCGCTGTACTCGACCAGCGGCTCCGCTATTGAAGGGGCGTGCAGCGGGGATATGCGGGTAAGCAGCAGCAGCCAATCGAAAGGGAATCAGTACATCCTGTTGCTCCCCCTGGAAATAGCAATTATAGCCCTTCGGGCGCATTTCGAAGCGATCCCCCCGGATCATATCCGGGCTCTTCCGGGCCAGCCAGCAGACATCGTCGGCGTTGGCTTGCCCGGCGCTACATGATTTTGGTTTTCGGGAATTCTGTGGAGAACAGCAGCTTTTGGGAAACTCTTAGTTTAAGACGCTACCTACACTGCATATCGGCTCCGTCATTGATTAAGGCCAGACAGCAAGCGTTATAGACGGCGAAACGCCAGATTATCAGAAGCTGCAACGTACATTGCTGCAGCTCCTACTGCAATTCGCCATCACATGCAAGGATAGACAGGAGTCATTTCGGTGCACTCCTTCACAATGCATTCATTGTTCAACAACCAATTGACCAGCAGCGGCCAGGCTGCGCACGAGAAGATGCGTTCGGCAGACCATCCTAAAATTCCACTGGCCGCCTTCTACCCTATTTGAAAATCCACGCTTTTAAGACTGCAAATTTAATGTAATTACATGCTAGGTTGTGTGTCTCTTACTGTAGTCTCCCACACTCACGAGATGCGCACGACCGCCGTCACAACTGGCAAGGTGCAACGGAATGCCTCACACTATTCGGACACAGACATAGGTGTTAGTAAAATCCATATTTGTCTAGACACTTCTAGAAAATGTCTAAAACATCACTTGAGAGAACTGGCAACGCTCGAGACAGACCCGGCTGGGCCATTCGTGCCGGCCCACTATGCACAGACTTTCATTCAGCCCCAAAGACGGGAGTCGGCAGTGTATTTTTAGCGTTTTGCACGAGTGGTCCACTACACATTAGCCAAATAAAACTTATTGGCTCCCAAACGAATGTTTAGTTTTAGTTGCAGCCATTTCTCAAGAGCTTCTGGTTTGGCGAGACGCGTAGCACCGTTGTCCCGCTGAACTTAACGCGCACGTCGCAGCTGGTTGACTTATCCCCTCTTCGGTGGAAAAATTTCCATTTTCTGTTTGAGATCGTTACTGTTATTTTTTTTGGGATAGTTGATCCTGGTATTTCAGTGTTAGTGGCTGTCTTCACCGGCTCCCATAGATCGGACCGATGACAGTGTCATCGACGCAGTACGCCCAGCACAGAGCCTGGGCCCCGATCTGCTGACATATTGCGGTCTTTTTTTATAGACACACGGATATTCCTGTTCTAGGTGGGGGGAAATCCGTCTGTTCGGGGAAAATGGCCTCCGCTTCTCACCGCTGTGTGGCGACCTTCCGGCGCACCTCCTGCTTGATATTGCTCCTCATGCAAATCACCGCCTTCCCAGCTTTTTCCTCCCCACCCGTCAGTACAGTGTATGTACCCAAAGATATGCTGAATATGATAATGGCCATTCAACCTTCTCAGGAAGTAGCGGCACATCCTGTGCCGCCAGTCCGAACCTCGTGCAAACGACACGCCCAACTATGTCGGATTTGCTCAATAGTCATCGTCTCCTTGATCCTGACCTTGGGTCTACGGCAACTTGCGAATCGACATCGCAAAGATGTAAGTGCTGAAACGCCTTTTGCTACGACAGGGGTCACTGTTACCTCAAGTTCCTGCGGACCCATGTATTCAGTTGAATGTCGTGCAGGGCTGAGTCCTTCGTGCAATGCTGAATTGCTTAGTTAGCGCTTGAGTGCTTAGTGGATGAAATGCGTGGGGCAGCATTCACGTGGATCTCCACTTCAATCCCGTGTTTGGTGGCAGCAGTTCAAGTCCCTTTCGGTGACCTCAACGTATGTGACGGATGTTTCGTTCCAAAAGCATGAAATCATCACTGCTTAGCTGGGTCGGATATTGGCGTAATGCACTTTGACATGTTCGGTTCGAAGAAAAATATATGAGAAGGCAATAGAAATGCCGTATACCTGCACGGCTGGGGTTTGAAACCAGCCACTGGCAAGATGCCAGCTGTTTGGAAGCACGTTGAGTGGTAGCTGCTGCTCTTCAAAACCTAGGCAGTCTTTGCACATGGTTTGTATTTTACTTCTTGTTGATGCTCGGGGTATATCGGAGCATTTGGAGCTTCTTGAGACGAAAGCAATTGATAGCGGCATGCAGGGTCTCGTTGTGGGCTATGCAGCTGTGCACAATAGGGGTTGCCAATAACTTCGCTCTGCAAAGAAGTTTTATTGATGTGCATCCCTAGGGTATTGTGGATTAGCTTGCTGACATTAGCGAACTTAGTCCTACACGCAACGAGCACCAGCTGATGCCAGGCGTATAGGAGAATAGTCTGCACAGAAAAGCTTCCTTTCAGATGTCAAGCATTGCAGATACCTCAGATGCGTGGAATGCTGCAGGTTGGAGACGAAGGTAGTCCAACAGAAGGTGTTGAATCACCACCATTTTCACTGCAAAGCAGACTTTCACGTTTGATTTCTAGGCGAATTTCCTTAAATGAAGCAAGCGACTCCAGTGGACCGAGCACGCCAGAGACTTCTGAACCTGGTGATGTGACGCCGGCCCAAGTCAGCATAAGGCAGAAGCAAGACAACAACCAACAGGAGAACCCGGAAGTGAAAGTAAGCGGGCGTGTCCCAGCAAGCGGCATAGTAGTCGTCCTGAGCTAGCACAGGTTGTCACCTCACACCGCTCCAAAGCGCCGTATCCTGTTTATGTTCTTGATGGATTTTTGCTATCACTACGACGTGATGGTTAGCCCTACTCTTCTACAGTGATGCCACGAAAAGACTGTTCACCAGGGGATAGATCTCCTACTGGTCGTCAGCTGGCGATTCAGCACCAGCCGAACACAAGGGCATATACTGTGTAGGGGTACCTAAGCGGAGCAATATAGTCGGCGACTGTTGTTGACACTTACTCCCGTGTTTGTTTCACCTACTGTGAAGCTAAAAGTTGATTGTATTTTCGGAGAGGAAAAATGTTGCCCTATCGGTATTCCTCCCTTCGAGTATGCAGATGGTACGTTCTTCAGATCTCAAGAAAATGCTTGTTTCGACTTGATCAGCGCAGTATGCAAAAGCAAGGGCGCTACACCGTGGATCACCTTGATACACGTTCTGCGTGTTCTACACTCTTGTGGCTGGTGGTTTCCCCTTGGCAACCATGACCTGCTGATGACATCTCATGTAAGCTGGAGCTTAACTTGATAAATCTGGATATTTCAATGCAACTAAGCAAATAGCTAATTAGCTACTCGGTGTCCGTGTGAATCGCGGTGGTTATTGTGATAGTCGTAAATTCGAACAACGGAGACCCAAGAGGACTTTCAACGGCAAACAAAGTAATTATGCTTGCGGGTCACCACGGCACACACGTATCTGTCGACCTCCAAGGTATGTAGCCGCTGTCTGCCGCCCCCTTCTGGCATACATTGTGTCCATTTCCATAGAAGGGATTCCACGTACTGTGTCAAAGCTGAATTGTTGTGGCGGCATGGGGTAACAGGGACTTACCTATCCGA